TTAATGATTTCTTCGAATATAACTCTTAGCCTCATTCATTTTAGTAATGATATTGCAAGTAATTGGGGTTAATTTTTTCTTCAATCTCTCTTTGTAGCACTCGTTATCAGGGATAATTCTGCATTTTCTTGTTAAAAGATTTTTAACGACGTCTTCAACTTCATTTGTGTTTTAAACATTCAAAGGGTCATTGCTTGTGTACTTTGTTCAACTCTGTACGTCTTTTTAATGCATATAAACTAAACCAAGAAAATTCGGTTTGCTTTGATTGTATCTCTTATTATATTATGGTTGGTTAACATTGTTTAAAATTGGTTTTGTTAGTGAGTTCTACGTGCAATTTTTTTAGCATATTTTATTGTTTATAGTATGTATATGTGATTATTACATGCACTTATATGCATTTGTGTGTGTGTTCGTGCTCTCATTCTCTTGCTGTGTACAACACAGACGACTCTAACAATATATTATTCTCATCAGTGTTTCAAAAAGCGCTAGGCAGCACCCAAGTGGTTAGGAGGGTTCGGGCAGCCCAGAGCCTAGGTGGGCGCCTAGAACTTGGGTGGCCCAGTAGAATTTTTTTTTTTTTGGGTTCTCTCTCTAAAATGGCCTCTAATGGGTTTTAGGTTTCAAATGAACTAAAACTCATGATTTTACCCCTTTAGTATTAGGAAATGACCCAAAAATAGCCGCAAGGAGTCGCATTTCCGCCCCTGGGTGGCCGCTCGTGGCCTACGCGGGTTCCCGGGTGCTTAGGCGGGCACCCAAGGATATCTGCCTAATTTGGCCGCCTACATCGCCCAGGCCTTCTGGACCGCCTAGGCGGCCGCCCAGGCGCTAGGTGGTCTGCTTTTTAATACACCGATTCTCATGTATCACATGTTGTGTATCAGTATATTGTAGTGAGCCGGAATTCATTTTTTGAGCTGGAAAAACTCACCTAGTCGACTCAACTCGTACGATGGGAATGTTTTATAAACTAACGACTCAGAATCTGCCTGAATTTTTGGTTATATGCACAGTTCTTTGTGGTGTTTTGACATATAGATTACTCATTCTGAAATGGTAGAAATGTGGTTGGAAATCCCACTAGGGACACTTTGTGTGTTTTGTGTTTTTTTTCTCCAATTTTTATAAATTTTTTGAAAAAATAGTTGAATTGGCTGGTTAACTCCACTATTTTACCTGGTTTTGCCATGGACCCAGTTAGCCTCCAAGTTCGGGTCTTTGAGCACGGGTAGACTTTTTTTTTTTGAAAGGTACAAATAAAATTACAATAAAGTTTTTTTTTAATAATTGTTTATTGTTTCTAATGGTTATGATTATTCTCATTTTGATTCGCAACAGGGTTTTTATTAAGTTCGAGTCTATTTTTGAGTTTTTAAAATCCTTGGTCTTACATTCACAATAAGGGGGTGGGTGCAATGTATATCTTTACCATGAGTCTCAAGTTACTTGGATGACTATGGATTAGTAAGTATTTGCCATAAGAGTCATGAAGTCATTCATCAGGAACTCTCTTACCCATGCCCCTTGATAATTTCATTGAAGGTTGCCATCTTGTTTTTGAAACTGTTAACATTTGTATTTGTAAAGAGGAATGTACACGTTGGTAAAAACGCCTACCCACAGGTTGGGAGCTCTATACAAAAAATTATCTAGAGGGTGCCTATCAACAAAAAATTCTATACAAGTATTAAAGCGAAAAAACTAGGGGGATTATAAATGTGTGATTGAGCTAGTTTTCCGCCTGGGTAGGCTCCTAGCTTAGCTAGATCATCTGCTGCTTGGTTGGCCTGGCGCCAAATATGCACCCATGAGACCTGTTTAAGCCTGCACAAGTCGAAGATCTTGTCAAAGACTGAAATGAGTCTCTTAGGTGGAGTTGCCTCTCCGGAGGCCTAGATGATGTCGTTTTTGGAATCACCTTCCACCACGAGGGAGGAACTCCAAGAGAGGTTGAACAGTTTGACACCTTCCTCCAAGGTGAGGGCTTTGGTCGTAGTTGGGTTGGCCCAACCAATAGGCTGGGCAAAGGAAGATATGATGGTTCCTTCGTGGTCTTTGAAGATTCCTCTGATGCCTTCTGGGTCTAGGTTGCCCAGGGAGCAACTGTCAAAATTGAGCTTGATTTGGCCAGGCTCTAGTGGGCACCACAAAGAGACACGAGGAATACGATGAGACTTGAAATGAAGGATCATATGCCAATTGAGAAGGAAGTCTGAGGCCGCTAAAAGCTTGAATCTGCTAGGGTGCGATGCCCCAAATGTCATGGTGGACACGATATTGTCCCACAAGACCCGTGGGTGAGATGATTGACCTTGGAAAATCCTTTTGCTGCGTTCCTTCCAAATGGTCCAAACAGTCACGGCTATGGAGGCCTTCGATAACAAAGTGCCGGATTTGGGCCACAAGATGTTTTGCGATTGTTGAAAGCGGTGAGGGACTGACTTGGGGGTGACCTGGGTCCAATTGAAAAGATGAAGAAGGTGGTCCAACAGTTGGCTCACAACATTGCAATGGATGAAAAGGTGCGAGTTGGTCTCCTCTGCTTACCTAGACATTGCGCATCTGTTGGGGATAGTCACTCCTCTGCGCTGAAGGTGGTCGACGGTAAGTGCCCGTTTCGGCAAGGCGATCCAAAGGAAAAACTAAATTATGGGATGGGTGAAAGTGTGCTATGTCTTGGTAACAATGGGGTGAGGCGAGGAGGGAGAGGGCCTGGGGTTGTCGAGCACCCTATAGAAAGAGGCAACTGAGAACACCATGTTAGGGGTAGGGTTCTATTTGATGGAATCCATTCCCTGGGCAGATGGGCTGAGAGCTCAAGAAAGGAAGGGAGCTCACTCTTGCAGAGGGGTCTGCAAAAATTGGGGTTCCAAGTTCGAGATGATTGTAGAGAAGGGAAAAGGTCAGCCACTGAGGCGTTAGGGTCAAAAGTGAGGCAGGAGAGATTGGGGAAGTGTCAGGGGTGTGTGACCAATGCAGAGGTCAGACCAGAAAAGGGTTCTATCTCTGCAGTGAGAGTGGAAGCGAATGTGGTTTTGAAGGGTTCCAGGCGCCGAGTGGGAGATCTCCAAACCCCCAAGGGAGAATTGTAGGTTCTGATTTCAGGCAGCCAAGAGGCGAGACTGATGCGGTATTTGCAACGAAGAACCTGTTGCCAGAGGTGCCCCTCTTGGGTGGCGAGGCACCACTACCATTTGCCGAAAAGGGCTAGGTAATTGGATTGGAGGTTTCTAATCTCCAAACCTCCAAGGCCCTTGGACTTGCAAACCATTTGTCAGGAGTGGTTTATTTTGTTGGGTTCCCTTGAGGCAGACCAGAGGAAGTTGTGCAACAGTTGTTTTAAGCCGGTGGCCAGTTGGAAACATTTGAGAAAGAGGAGCAGGGAGTCCACCTGTTGTGATGAAGCACCACAAAAAAGGAGGGTGTCGCCCGCATGTTGGAGGTGGTGCAAGATGGGGTTGTGGTGTGGACTCCCTTTTGTCATCTTGTTGAAACCAAGGACATGCTTCTGGCTTTGTTTTATACTAGGGATATGTTCAATGATAGCATGACCACATGCTAACAAGACCAACTCATGATCTAAAGCAAATTTGGGTCAAGATTTGGGAGCGCAGATTGGTGGCTGCGAGGGAGGGAGGGAGGGAGGGAGAGTGGAGGGAAAACTGAGGTGACGATTGTGGAAAATACAATGGCGGAACAAATGTGGTGGAATAAAATTGAGGTTAAGATTCAGATAGGCTGAATGGCATGGTGGGGAGATAGGCATTCAATTATGACATTGACACCTTTTAACCAATACAAGATGTCTACAGAGGATTTCTTTTCAAACTTGATGTTACTAATCTCTGATGATGGAAACATCGAGAAAAGGGGGACTATTTCCATAAATAATCATATTGTCACTTCCTGCTAGGATTTTCAAGGGGTTCTGAGATTCTTCAAAAATTTTCCTATGTTGTGGACTGTCTTTGAAGTGAGTTGCTTTTCAGAATAATAAACGTGAAATCAATCAATTATTGATACTTGAATATGTGCAAGTGATCAAAATTCCTTTGTGATACTAGAGTCAGCTGTACAAGCTGGCTAGAGAAGTTGAAACATTTCTTAGTTTGTCTCCATTCTTTGCAGTAATGAAGTTTTAGTTCGACATAGGGCTTGCAAATTTTTCCTTTACCTGCTGCTGCGTTTTCCAATATATTTTACCGATCTATGTTTCATTGAGTACATGTTCTTATATTGGTCATTGGCTTTTGCAAAACTTTTATTAGCTATGGTATCAAGTATCATTAATATATAGACTCATAAATAATGAGCAATATTTTATGCTTGACCCTTCATTTGGATGACACACGCAAAATAGAAAGTAAAGTGCGGGTACTGTGCTGGGGCGTGTAAATTTGCTCCCTCGGCCCTCAGGTAAAAGGCCCAGTTAGAAGGATTTTTTTTATCTGAAAATTTTGAGTCCACTTTAGAATAATCAGATGAGTGATTTCAATAAACAAGGAAAAAAAAGAAAAGATTATTTCGAGTTCTTATACACCTAGATCTTGGTTGAAGAATTGGATAGTCTGTGGTAGGTACTGGGATGCGATTTTTTTCAGGCACTTCAAGTGCGTATTTTCTTTTGTTCTAAGGTTGGTTGCTAGACTTATTAGGTTACATCTCCAAAACTGCCGTCCTAACTACCTAATTTATTATGGGAGTATAAGATAATTTTAGTAGAAAGTATCCATAAGCTTCCATGGCTGGCTTCATCTTGGTGCGTCTGGGCCAATTGGTTTAAACTAAGAGGTTTTCAACCTAAGAGGAAAATGATATTATGAAAAAAATAAATAAATAGCACTCATAGATGGTATATTTTCTGATTTTTCCAAAATGAATAAATAAGTAAATTCAGTATAAACTGTTTTTCAATGCCGTTCTTTTTTTTATTGTAAACAAATTTAGTGCCACAAGTTCTTGTTCATATTTTGACTTACCTTGGTTTTCAGGATCACTTGGCGCTGATGATGGAGCTTCTTGGGATGATGCCTAGAAAAGTAAGCATCTGTATATCCTCCCTCCCCTCTTGTCTTTTCTTATAACACATTTCCAGGTTCACCCATTTAAAACTTGAGTTTGAATTGCCAACTACAATTTGTTCTAGATCGCTCTAGGTGGCAGATACTCCCGTGACTTTTTCAACAGACATGGTGATCTAAGGCATATCCGGAGGCTGCGCTTCTGGCCCTTGAACAAAGTGCTCGTGGAGAAATATGATTTCTCTGAGCAAGATGCAAATGAAATGGCTGATTTCCTTGTTCCCATACTTGATTTCGTCCCTGAGAAGAGACCAACAGCTGCTCAATGCCTCACTCACCCATGGATCACATCAGGGCCTCGGTGTCTCGAGCCATCCTTACCCCCTCTTCCTGATGGAAACAATGCCTCAGATGAAAAGAAACAGGAGGATGAGAGAGAGGCAATGGAGGCAGGCATGGGTAACATTGCCATTGATGCGGCTTCCAAGATTTGCAAGGATCCTCAGGCTAGTGGACCCAAGCTACTGATTAACAGTGGATCCAAGCCTCCCAGCAATACGTCCAGGTAATTGGCTAAAGTTATTCCTCTCTGTTAACCTCATTTTAGGAGCAGATTGTATTCTGTTTGGTCTTAGCAACAATTCTATCGGGGTTGAAATTCTTTTTTGGGGTGGGGTGATTTTGGGTGGGTTTCTATTCTTGTGTAGCTCTTACTACGGGTTGTGCATTATACTGAACAGAATATGCCTGTAATGTAATCCGGGAAATATATGAGATGTCCTCTTTCGATGACTGCTATGATTCAATGTATAGAGAGAGTTGTTTCTTTTGAGGGACATGGGATTTCATGCAGCTTTTACAGGTTTGGCATTTGGCCTCGAGGAATTGTGTTTTGTCATTTCATCTTCGAATTGTGGTGAAATGCACCTGGAAAGGAATTGTTGTATGTTGATTAATGGACAGAGGAATTGTGAAATGTGGTGAGTTGTCCAAGAAAAAAAATAAATCTGAAAGAGTATGGTGAAGTTCTTTACCCCACTTAAAAACACTAAATATGTTTTCTTTCCATGAAAGTCATGGTGTATCATTAGTTGAAGTCGATTTAAAAAATCCACAAAGGATGTTTGCTTTACACAATGTTGGCTGCTGTCATTAGGAGTTAGAGAGTAACCGGATCGAATTTAGTTTGGAAAATGGGCCCCAATAAAATGACAATGAATGGCTAAGAAAGATAAAATAATGTGGGATGAAGTTTTTACGAGACCTAGTCTTTATGAAAACAAAATAAAGCCTCACTTCAAATTTTGGAAAGCACTTTTGACAATGGAAATCTTCATGATGACCGATGAACACTTATTTTTATGGCTAAATGGACTGTTTAGATAATTCGTTACAATATATGCTTTTGTTAGAGTTTGTAATCTTTAACTTTTTTTACAACCACAATGTTCAAGCTGAGATGATCTATGGAAAGGTTTACCAATGTTTGAATTGCAATTTTTGATGATGAATTATGAAGTGAGACTTTACTTATTTTGATAGGCCTGCAACTCAAACAAACCAGTTTCTAAAAATATGATAAATTTTTAAGACTTGCCTTTGTTTCAGATTCATGGTTAACATTGTTTAAGATTCTCAACCCCAAAAATATTCAAAGAGGTATGTGTAAATAGATGAGACATTGGATTTATGGAGGCCTTGCTCATTTAGATGGTTAGGTGGTGGGTGCTATGGCATTGATGTTTTGATTTCCATTCTTGCTGGATGGGAGATCCTTGGAAAAAAAAAAAAAATTTTTTTTACTAGAAGACTTGCCCTTCTTTAATTATTTTTTTTTCGGACTTTTGAAACTAAATATAGATGGATAATGCTCGGTATCTAGTCCATTTTGAAAACTGAAATTTTTTTGTCAGAGAACCTTTTGAAAATCTGATCTATGTACGATTATTTGTATGAGAAATAAAAGGGCAAACAGAAGAGTTCGAGAACCACTGGTGACTCCTGCCTACTGGCCTCAATGGAGAAGAAAACAATTTCAAAGGGGTCAGGCCATTAAAAGTTAAACTAAACGTATAGGTCGAGAAGGCATCATTTTATCTGGAGTCCCTACCACCCCGGACTACCTTCAGCGTAGCCGCCCTCCCCCGCTTGACACACCTTTCTCAATGAAAACCTCTGGTTTTTTTTTTTTTGTCTTATTTTTAATCCAAGGATGGCACTCTTCTTTTGAAACCAATAACCCCATACACTTCTCATTTCCTCCGCAGTCCACCCAAACTGATCGAATGGCTCCCCTGCGCTTTGTTCTCTTCCTCCTATTTTCCCTCTCTGCTTCCTCCACTCTGCTCTTCCCCCTCCAACCCACGACAACCTCTCACCCCCCTCTCCACCTCCTCCGCGTCTCCTCCAACCGCTCCACCACTCGCTTCCACCACCACCACCACCACCGTCCCCTCCCCCTCTCTCCCGGCTCCGACTACACTCTCCCTCTCTCGGTCGGGCAACCCCCACTCACCCAAACCATTCCCGTCTATCTAGATACGGCCAGTGATCTCGTTTGGCTCCCTTGCTCCCCCTTCGAATGCATTCTCTGTGAAAACAAGCCGCCTTCTCTCTCTCACTTCGACCCCAAACACTCACCCTCCCTCCCTGTTCCCTGTGATTCCCCGGCGTGTTCCGCTGCCCACTCGAGGACCCCGTCCCGTGACCTCTGTGCGGCCGCTGGCTGCTCCCTTGACGACCTCGAGACTTGTTCATGCTCCCAACACTGTCCCACTTTTTATTACGCATACGCTGATGGCTCCTTGCTTGCTAGCCTCCTCTCCGACCGACTCCCTCTCTCTCCTCACCATTCCTTCGTTTTTGGATGCGCCCGCTCCACCCTGGCCGAGCCCATTGGAGTGGCGGGGCTGGGGCAGGGGCCACTGTCACTTCCAGCCCAGCTTCCCCCATCGCCATCCCGGTCCTTCTCCTACTGCCTTCCAGTGCAGCATGCCGTGGGCAATGCCCAAGGGGCAGGCCGGCCCGGCCCCCTCATTCTTGGCCGGTCGCCACCCGTCCAAGGATTTGCATACACACCAATGTTACACAACCCCAGGCGTCCCTACTTCTACTATGTGGGCCTTGACGCTGTGCATGTCGGGCAAAGGAGGATTGCCGCGCCTCCAGAGCTGAGGAGGCTGGACCGGAAAGGGGGAGGGGGATTAGTGGTGGATTCCGGGAGCACTTTTACCGTATTGCCCCCAGGGTTTCGCCGGAAAATAGTGAGTGAATTTGAGAGGGGAGTTGGATTTGAGAGGGCGAAGTGGGTGGAGGATGAGACGGGGATGGGGCCTTGTTATTATATGAGAACGGCCACAAAAGATGTCGAGGAGAGGAGTAGGTTCAATAAGATTGGGGCCCTTTGGATACCAAAGGTGGGCTTCCAATTTAAGGGAAATGTGACTCTTGACTTGCCCACTGACAACTACTTCATGAGATTTGACGTGAGAGGAAGAGAGAGAGTGGGGTGTTTGTTGCTGCTGGGTGGAAGCCAAGAGGAAAGGGGGGGGCCTGCGGGGATACTCGGCAATTATCAGCAACAAAATTTTGAGGTCGTCTACGATACCGAAGGGAAGAGGCTAGGCTTTGCGCCGCGCCAGTGCACCGATTTGTGGGACGACTTGCACGCCTGAATCACCTGCCGTCCCGTCCCGAGCCCAGCCCAGCCCAGCCCAGCCCAGCCCCCTCATATATCACCACCTTCCACAACATTTCCTCTTTTTTTTTTTTCTTTTTCTTTGAAATGTTGTGCAAGCGGGGGTTCCTTGCTTTCGTCTGAGTGCTCAATTCCTCCGGAGAACCTTCGCAGATATGTTGTACAGGATGACTACCCAAGCAAATAATATTCGGAGTAATAACTTTATTTCTCTTTTTAACCTTCCCATTTAGTTATGGCTTTATGGGCAAGCTCTCTAAACATATCATATAACCCCTATCCTATCCGATCGTCCGGTTGGTTCAGATGCCCCAATCAATGTCATATCTCTATATTATTTTATTTTTAATTTTTTTACAAACTATCTTGATACTAAATTTTGAGCTTTCACCCTTCTATTAAATTGGTATTTGTAATAATTATAAAAAATATATTCTCGATAAAATAAAAGTCATCAATATACTCTTGGAAGTTTGATAAAATAAAATACTCTAATATGTTAGATCTAATAGACAGTGGCTCATTTGATCTTAACTTGTACAGCTGGATGGATGGAGGAATGGATAGGCGGAGGTATATATCTTCTCTTCTATGCAGTAAAAGAAATATGGAAACCTTTCCAATTTAATTATTGGATGTCGTATGGTTATCTCCTCACTCACTCGAATCAAAATATTTGTTGGACACTCATTATTTTCGCTTTGTAATGTGAAATCCTTTTGAGTAGGGGTAAGAGGGGCTTAATGAATAAAGAAGATAATAATATTTTATTAACGACTAAAAATAACTAGTACTCCGTATGGATGGTTGTACCGCATTTGTTCATATGTGGTCCAAAAGAGTGTAAAGAGAATTTATTTTAAAAATCGATGCAAGCAGGTGTTTTATTTAAAACGAGTGACAACTTACGGGTACAAATGTTTTTTTATTGGAAATATTATTTTAAATTTTTATTTATTTTTTCATTTTTACGAGATCCATGCTAGAGATCGCATGTCCTTAAAAAATTAAATTTTAAAATTCATCTCGAAAATAGATTTACTAAGAAATTCACATTTCTATACATATGCGGATTTGGGCACATAAAAACCGGATCCTTCCCCATATTCTGGAAGCGGCAATACGCACTGTGCGAGCGCATCTTTCTCTTTTTGAGAGACGCCAGCTGGATTATTGCTGTGCCGTCCACATAACGCCACGTGGCAGAGAATTAAAGCAGCGGTGTCACGTTTTACTTCTGTCTGTTGTCTTTTGGACTTTTATTGGCTTGCGCAGTCCAGCTGTTAAACAAAAACCCCACAAAACGTTACCCCTTAAATTGCTAAAATGCCCCTCCGATATCTCTCGGCTGGCCAGAGAAGTGTGGTGGGGCTCATCTTGGGTGGCCCCCACTACTTATTGAAACCACACCAACAAACCTTCTTAGTTTATAGCTCATAAAGATGAACAGGGTATATATACATAACAGCATGGTCAGATGCTTTTAGATGTTTGGTTGTGAATTTATGACTCTAAAACTTGGGATTGGAGGGTGGGAATTTGTGTCGGATCGCTCCATTGACAATTTACATCTTTGTTGAAAATTTTAATAATAAATAAATCAAATTTTAAAGTATATATTTATATAATAGAAAAATTTGTATAAAGTTGTAAATTTAAAATGTAGAATTACATATGCACCTAAAAAATCAATCGAAAATGTTGTTTTAATGTTGAAAAAACTTTATGATCAATCATCTCGACATCGAGATCGATGAATATGAAAAAAAAAAAAGTTTTTGAATATCGAAAATAGTGTATCTTACAACACATTATCTAGACCGCCTTTTTTCAAGATTTTCATATATTTATAGATCTACTGGATTTTAACAATTTTTGGAATTTAAAATTTTCTATTTAGGTATGAAAATAGATTTTAAGACAATACTGAAAAATTTTTACAATAAAATTACATGTTATGATAAAATTTTAAAATATGTTTTAATTGAATTGTTTAAGGTTGCAACCTTATAGAAACCGTACCTTTTATATAAAAGGTGGCGATAAAGAGGGCACTTAAAAAAAATACTAAATAAGTTTAAAAAGGGAAAAGTATATATATATAAAAGGTTAGAGAGAACTGACGAGGATCCTTACCATCTCAAAACCAGTTCAATCCTCATCAATTCCCATCCAAATCGACAATCCGTATGGAAAGTTTGTGAGTTATAAAACACGGTTCAAAATTAATGTTTTGTAACGCAAAATTTGTTTTGGTTTGGTTTGTTCAAATGGAAAGACTAAAATCGGGTTTCAAAAAAAAAGTTAAAAATTATTAAAATAATATTCATCAAGCGATTTTGGGGGAGGGGCTTAAATTGCCCACCCATCAAATCTGATTTAAACGGGCAAATCCCTTATAAAAAACCAATGACTATAAGCGAATGGCTAAAAAAATAAAAAATGGTAACATTAAATCTTATATGAGTTTTAGTGGTACAGGTCAAAAAATGAGGAAAGAGGCACAAGTAGCAAAAAGGAAATGTAAAAATGAAAATGGAAACTAAATATAGAGATGATTAATGCGGCATCTAAAGTTGGTTCTCACGGGTTTCGGCACTTAAAAATGGATTTCATTGGGTAAAGGTCGTGACGCCGTGCGCCAACTATATGTTCACAAGTGTCACTATTACAATATTTTTTTAAAAAAATACCTTAAAAAACTCTAAATTTTTCAAAAATATTTAAAACAAAGTTCTTGTTTTACAATGGAACTAATACAAATGCACATTTATGTATTTTCAACTTTCCTCGAAACTTCTGTTCTCTTCGTTGATTTGAAATATTTATTTATTTTGGTTTTAAGACAAACTTATTAATATTAAGAAGGGAAATGATCTTGTGAGACCCTCCCACGTTCATGTGTGTAGAATATCAGAACATTACTCTATTAAAAATATAGATTTATTAAAAAAAACCTCTAAAATTTTCACCAAAACATGTGAGACCCTCCCATGCTCATGTGTGTAGAATATCGGATCATTACTCTATTAAAAATATTGATTTATTAAAAAAAACCTCTAAAATTTACACCAAAACATGATCCGCTAAAAAGACTATATTTCATAAAATTAAGTATTCTTGAAAAAAAAAAAAAGTAGTCTTCTAAAGCCCAGTCTTGTAACTTGAAAAGTTGTTTACGTAAAGAATATCTAAAAAAGCACTTGAAGTTTGAGAAAAAGGTAGGAGAAGAAATATCGCAGGAAGTTGAGAACCTTTATTTGATAACTTCATTGCGCAAACTAGAGCAAGCTCGAGCCAGAGCTTGGGCAAAGGGGATAAATCAAGATAGAGAAATAAATGGGGGAAGAGGGGCATGTGCTTTTTCCCTTTTCCCCTAGAAATCTGCAACGCATCGCAGGGGTGAACTGCAGTTTTCTCTAACATTTGGGAAAACCGTGGGGACGCAGACAACTGTGGGGCTCTTCATTTTCCCATTCCTGTACACGGAAAACTATAGTAGTTCGGAAAACATGTTGTTTTTTCTTGTTTTTTTTAGTTACCAAAGAGGGCCTAAAGTGGATGTAGTTTCAAAAGTAAAAAATGTAAAGTTCAAAAAAGAGTAATTGTATTAAAAATATTTTATAAACCAAGAGCATCAGTTCAAAAAGGAAGAGATAGTGATTTAAGCATGGAAAAAGTTTATATAAGGTTGCAACCTTAAAATGTAGAATTATATATGCACCTCAAAAATCCATCGGAAAGGGTTGTTTTAATGTTGAAAAAACTTATAATTTATCATCTCAACATCGATATGTATGTATATGAAAAAAACATTTTGAGTCCCAGAAATAGTGCGTCTTGCAATATATTATCCAGACCGTCCATTTTCAAGATTTTCACGTTTTTATAAATCTACTTGATAATTTAAAATTTTATAATTACATATGAAAATAGATTTTGAGATAATCCTAAAAATTCCTTTCACCAAAATTACATGATAAATTTGGAAGTGCACCTTAATTGGATTGTTTAAGGTTGCAAACTTATGGAAACCACACATTTTAAATATTATAAGCAGCTCAAAATTGGAAGTGAAGTTAGCATTTTAGTTTGCTCAAAATTGGTTTTTGCTGACTCCGATCTTATACTTTGTTACTTAACCCTCTAACAAGATTCCTATGCCTTTGGGCTATTGTTCTTGTAGAATCGATGTGCTGGATTTTTTTAGCATTATTGTTCTTTTCTTAGCATTGTTGTTCTTTTCTTAGCATTGTTGTTGTGGTAAACTAAAATTAAGATAATAAATTCATCAAGTAGAACAATAAATTCTAGCCAAGTTATGAACTAAAACTAATTTTCAATAACTTTATCGTATCCAAACAATAACTAGAAAATTGTAATTTTATTTAATACATATTTGATTTTCTCACCAAATTGAAAAACATGATTTTTTACTTACTAGTGTTGACAATCCATGCCTCCTTCCCTAACTTTTTGCCTATAATTTTTTAGGCAGTAAAATTGATTTATTAGTGGCGTTTCTAGTTTGCCCTTATCTTATACATAATTTTTTTTTTAAAAAAAATACAATTTAATATATGCTTAATAAAGGCATCCTCTTTGCATTACTCTACGACACACAAACACACACACCAAGTCTTGATGACCCACAGCGAGAGAGACAGAGGAGAGAGAAGTAGAGAGGGTAAAAAAAGATCGAGTGAGAGGTGAAAGAAAGAGGATGTTTTTATTTGACATACATTAAATTGTTAATGGTAAATTTTTTATAGAAAAGAGGGAAAAAGATAGTAGAGGGATTACGAGGTAAGATGCAGTGTTTAGCAAAGTTTAATGCTACCTGAAAGAATAATGGGGGGGAGGGGCTATTGTGAAATTGGTATGGAAATTGGAGGTCTATATGAAATTTTTTCTAAATAAATCCCAAAGGGCCATGTAGAAAAATGAAAACCAAAGAGAGAGAGGATTAGCCCGAACAAATGTGGCATCTAAGTTGGTACTCACCGTCGTGGTAAAAGCGTGTTGGAAAGCAGTATTGATCCTATGGAGCTAACTCAGACCCGGACCCATGTCGATTCAAGTCAACTGGCGTTAGAACCAAGTTATATATATATATATATATATATATATATATATATTGGTTGGGCTGGCCCAAAGCCAACCCGACCTACCCAAATTCATCAGGGTTAAACCCTGAGGCGGCCAAATGCACATAGAATC